TGCTGACCAGTCCAGAGATAAATCATGTATTAAAACTTCTGAATATTTTCATCTTTAATCCTGGTATGTCACTACTAAGAGCTTTCTGCTACTGTCCATGTCTCTGGTGGAAGATTTATTACTTATATTTCCAGTGATAAAAGACTTTTGGATTTTTCTTTTTAAATGTCATGTGAATCTCAAAACTTCTACTATGTCATAACTGGATTATGATGTAGTAGCTTTTTTTAAAGTCATGAATATTTTGAATCTCAAGGAATATCTACAGATTAGCAAAGTGCTTTTTGTATTTGCACATACAAATTTTGCTTGTGTCAATATTTCTTTTTTGTTTTTTTTTTTTCTTTTTTCCAGGGCATATTATAGAACTATGATAGCAACCGGAGGAGTCATAACAGGACTGGCTGCCTTAAAAAGGCAAGACTCTGCCAGATCTCAGCAACATGTAAATCTTGCCACGGCACCAGCTTCTGAGGAGAAGAAACCAGTTAGACGCCGGCCCAGGGCAGATGTAGTAATTGTCCGTGGCAAAATCCGTCTCTATTCTCCATCGGGATTCTTCCTTGTTTTGGGAGTGCTTATCGCATTCTTGGGAATTGCAATGGCCATCCTGGGATACTGGCCCCAAAAGGAACAGCTTTTAGGATCTGAAGATTATCAATCAGTAAATGAAACCAAGGTCCTGAGAAGCCAAGGAAGCATTTTACTTCGTTTCTTTGAACAGCATGTGCAGTCAGATAAAATGAAAATGTTGGGGCCTTTTACTATGGGCATTGGAATCTTCATTTTTATTTGCGCAAATGCCATTCTGCATGAAAACCGTGACAAAGAAACAAAAATCATACACATGAGAGACATATACTCCACTGTAATAGACATCCACACCCTGAGGATCAAGGAACAAAAGCAGCTGAGTGGTGCCTTCACTGGCTTGTTGGGGGAAGGAGAGCTCAGGCACAGTGGGAGCTCGTGTGCATCACGGCTGGCTGCAAACACGGTTGCACCTTTCTCTGGCTTCAAGGGTCGTTTTAGAGTGGATAGTTCTGCCGAAGAAGATGAGATTACCCTAAATGAAGACAGGACCACTGGTAGCCTTCTGCCACCTCTGCTGACTGAGCAATCTGGTTCAGTCTTTGGACTTTACCCTCACTCCAGCAAGGCTTCAGATGACAAAAACACTAGCTCTTTAAAGTGTGAAACAAAATCCATTGTGTCATCTTCCATTAGTGCTTTCACACTGCCAGTAATTAAACTGAATAACTGTGTTATCGATGAGCCCAGTATAGACAACATAACTGAGGACTCGGAGATCACTAGGAGTCGGTCTAGAAATCTGTCGATGGATTCTCTGGCCATTCCACTAGCCGATACCAATGAATCCTACAGACCAGCCACTGCCATGCTGCCACGACATAATTCATTTGTGGATACACCAACTGATCAGTTCAAATCTTCTATGACTCTCGGACCAAGCACAGGAAAGCTTTTATCGCCTGGCGCTGCCAGAAAACAGTTTGGGTCCAACACGTCTTTGCATCTTCTGTCTTCACATTCAAAGTCCCTGGACTTGGACAGGGGTCCATCTACGCTCACTGTCCAAGCTGAACAAAGGAAACACCCCAGCTGGCCCAGACTGGATCGGAGCAACAGTAAAGGGTATATGAAACTAGAAAACAAAGAGGACCCAATGGATAGGTTACTTGTGCCACAAGCTGCAGTCAGGAAAGACTTTACTAATAAGGAAAAGCTTCTTATGATTTCAAGATCTCATAATAATTTGAGTTTTGAACATGATGAGTTTTTGAGTAACAATCTGAAGCGGGGAACTTCTGAAACAAGATTTTAATATTTAAATTGCAATTTACGAGATGTCATATGGTATTTTTAGAACAAAAAAACATTTTAACAAGTGTTTCCTTTTCAGTGAGACTAGTACAAGCCTGTTTTTAACCAAATGCTTAAAAGCCCATTAAAATTGTCTTATGTGAACAGAGATCTTCATCTTCGTAATGCCAAGAGTTTTTTGTCTTAGTAACATACAGCTGCAATATTGTACATTACCATTGCTCAGAGAGTTTTGGTACTACTGATTCCAATTTTTCTCAAGTCTTTTTTTTTTTTTTTGTTCTATATATGCATGTTACTTTTTATCAATTTGACTCCAGAAGGCTGCATTGAAAAAAAGCTCCATTTACCTGTAAGTTCTGCTTATTTAATGACTGCAAGAGTCTAAAAATGGTGCTTGAGGTCTATAATGGGAAGTCAGCAGCAGCACCTACTGGAATTGTCAAATCCAGGCCTTTATCCTAGGTGTTTTTCACATACGGTACATCTCGGTAGCTACAATCTTGCCATTGTCATTGTGAGGAACTTGTTTACGTATTGGGGTGGGTGGATAGAAAAGAGTGGGTATAATTAAAACCATTTTTGTGAATTCATTGTAATTGGTCGAGTTGAATGCCAGTGTTGTGAGTTATTAACTATGCTTTGTACAATAATCTTTCTACATCCATAGTAATTTGATTCTGTAATTCTGGGAAAATGTATATAAAGTAAGAAATCTGAAAATTCTTCTGGGATTGGTTCTCTAAACCACTTTGATTGGCAGCAGTTTTAAAATCAACATGTACAGATTCAGTTACAAACATAGGAACATGATGAATGCCAACAGGATTTTAGTGACATGGTGTATAATAAGATGATATTGTGACATGAATCTGAAGAGAATAATGGAAAATGAATATATTGCCTCTCATTACAATAGCAAGAGGCTAAATAACTGGATCTCGTGTGTTCAAAATACTGATACAAAGCATACAATTTGAGATGTATACTAATATAGTATGAAAGCCCCTTGCCTACATTTAGTATTTCACATAATTATTGGCATGATGGTTCGCTAGAGGCTTAGCTGTGGTAATTTGCATTACAAGATTTTGCAAAAGGAAGTGACATTTAAAACAATGTTTTTCTCAGCAAAGCAAGCTTCACAGTTGACAATTGTAGGTTATTGATAAGAAAATGAGAATTTGAATGTGCATACCAGAAAGTTTTCATATATTTCATTAAGGTATTTAGGCCATGATCCTGCCATGACAGCCAAGCTGGAGAATGTCACTTCAAGCTGCAAGGCTCACCTAACAGGATGTTGGTCTTAATTGGTCGCTTTTGATACATTCACTTTACCTAAATACTCAGGAATTATTTTTAATGGCTTTTCCCAAAAATAAACAAACCTGTTAAAATTTCATTCTTCTTCAATTACTCTAATTGTGAAAGATCAAAGATAAAAATACCCTCTTTTTTAATATTCAGCTCCATATTTCAACTGCGTGTTATTTATGTATCAGGACCATTACTTGCTCAGTGAATTGAGGCATAGTGTTAACTGTTAGAACCTCAAGCCTATATATTGTAACAGAGTTGGCTAAATATTTTGCTATGAAGCTTTTAATAACTTTCTGGTTTGTGTTCTTAAGACATTTGCTATTTTTTGAAATAAAATAAAATGTCTATCTACATATATCCTTTGTAAGACCTGTTTTTCCTCTATGATCTCAAATCTTCCATACCAAAATATAGTTAGGTGTTTTAACATTGTATATAGCATTGTGCTTAATATATTAGACTGCCACTAGATATTTGACTATGACTAATTGATTTCAATGACATCCCTACACATGTAAAGGCTGAATTTTTCCTTCATGTACTGTGAAATGTATTCAAAGTGGTTTTGTGTAAAAAGAACATCTTGTTCTTTTCAGTTTAGTGGTAAGTATTCTTATAAAAATGGAAAACGCTATTAAAGACATAAATGCTGTAAGCTTTTATTTCCTTAATAGCTACATTAAATCATAGCTTAAAAGACTGGTTTTTGGATACCATCATATGTGGTAATAGTGGTCCTTTTGTAAGTACAGCGGGGCATGAGCTTTTAATTTTAACATAGGTACCTGGTACTGAAAAATGTACTCTCTTTGCAAAAAATTTACCCACTTTGGAGACCAAGGTAAAGCTACTCACTTAAAGCAGGAAATCAAAATAGCACCATACAAAGAAACTCTGTGGTTGACAGTCCGACTACAAACATATTCGCAAATTACCTGAAAATGTAATATTTCATTCAGATAGTCACAGAATGGTTGAGGTTGAAGGGGGCGTCTGGAGGTAATCTTGTCTAACCCCCTTGCTCAAGCACAATGTCCAGACAGCTTCTGAATATCTCCAAGGATGGAGACTCCACAGCCTCCCTGGGCAACCTGTGCCAGTGCTTGGTCACCCTCACAGGAAAGAAGTGTTTCCTGATGTTCAGAGGGAACCACCTGTGTTTCAATTTGTGCCCATTGCCTCTGGTCCTGTCAACTGAGCACAAGGCCCTTTTCAGAGCCTGGCTCCTTCTACGTTTGCACCCTTCTTTAGGTATTTATACACATTGATAAGATCCCCCTGAACCTTCTTTTCTCTAGGCTACGCAGTCCCAGCTCTTTCAGCCTTTTCTCATAGGGGAGATGCTCCAGTCTTTTCATTATCTTTGTGGCCTTTCACAGGACAGGCTCCAGTATGTCCATGTCTCCCTTGTACTGAGGAGCCCAGAACTGGACCCAGCACTCCACATATGGCCTTATGCCTGACTATTGCCATGTAGAGGGGAAGGATCCCTTCTCCAAAGGGTAATATGGGACCTTGTGTCCTTCAATGTTCCTTCAGTAGTTCCAACTCAAGCTCGTCAAGAAAACTTGTAGATGTTCAAAAGGCCTGAACCCTAGTCTTCATATGTAGAAGTCAGAAACTGCAGTAAGGCAAAGATGTCTGAACCTGCTACAATACACTGGGAGAGTTAGGAACCTTAGAGTGGCCAAAATGTGAAGTTGGGAATAAGGAACTGGTGAACACAAGCGCATGTCTTAAACTTTCATTGTATCTTTAGGGCATAAATACGATATTCAATCTGTTGCTGATTCAGTTCACAGACTTTTTAAAAAATGTCTTTGATTTCCATTATTGATGCTCTGTGCATCTCCACAATTAGTTGCTCTGATACAACTGCAGGGTGAAAAAGAAGCCAAAGATAGGAAGTTTTAAACTAGTTTTGCCATCAGAGAAAATAATTGTCTAGCTACACCACAAGCCTTTCCATGGAATAGGAAGTTAAACCTTACATCCAGTCAGAGGAAATGTTATGGTACTGGTATGGTTATGGCATCCTTTGTATGTAATAACTAAAAATAAATAATTTCGATCGTGCAAGCAATGAGTTTGCTCCTTCCTCTGCCTAAGACCATGAAAAAAAAAATACATTTTCTTCCTCTCAGGTAAGCATCTTAATCACTACCTATGGACTAGACTGATGTTATGGTCTGTCCCTCCCTTCTGGGCAAAGCTGTTTCACTCTGCTCATTTGTTGGGCAAGTTTCATCAGGAAATAAAGAGCATGGCTCTGCCGTTATAGGGCAGAAATGCTGGATTACATTGTCTTCCAGGGTTGCTTCTGCGTTTTACATGAAATGGTTAGTTGATAAATTCCTTGAAACAGGGACTGGATTCTTGCCAGGCTGCTATTTTACCTACTCCCTGAGGAGCCTAGTTTACTCTCCCTGTGAGCCAGCAAACCTAACCCTTCCATGCAGAGCAGCGTAGGAGGGACTGGCAAATGCTCCAGCTGCTCAACTGCACAAAGCTTAATGGATGGGAAGGTGTTGGCATGGGTTTTCTCAGCAGCAAGAGACTTTGGCATGGTGTTACCCATCCTGCTGGCTGCCCTAAGGCTTGGGCTGTGAAAAGGATGGGAAGGCGAGCTGGCACCACCAGCCTGGTTTTGAAGGAAAGTGAAATTTCATGTTACAACTGAGCAGAGTTTTTGAGGCTGACAGTTTTGGAGGAAGGCATGAACACCTGTCCCACCTCGTATATTGACAGGTAAATAACTTTTGTGCAACTGTGTCAGAGTGCCTTTCTCAGGCCTAGAGCTGATTTTATTTATCCTTGAAATATAGCATTACTAGTCCTGAGTGAAATTTGGGAAACAGTTTTAGCCTCCGGTAGCAGTTTTCTCTCAGAAGCTTTTCAAGCAACATATAGAGTTCCTGGATTGCTTTAGACTTACACTCTTACAGACCAGTTCTTTCTTTTCAGGAGTCTTTTTCTGACTCTTGCCAGGAACTTCTGTCTTCATATTCCCAGCACTTTTATTAATCTTCCTACCAAATGTGGCATTATGATGAACAAGTAGAAAATCATTTAGCAAGACTATATGCATGTATATGTAAGAATGCAAACAGAATAAAGATCTGTTGTAATGTAGGAGTGTTTCAATTGGTATGATTTAGCTACTCAAGGGCAAGTTCATGCCCTTTGTTTAAACCTTTTCAAATTAAGATAGGAGCAAATTAGTTGCAGTTACCACACTTACCACATTTAACTTTCAGGTCGCATTTATTAACTCTTTCATCAATATTCTGTGTACAGTGATGTTGAGTTATTTTTGTATTTTAGGATTCCGTATTTCAAATTAACCTCATTGGAGTATTTTATGCATTCAACAAAGCCCAGTTTTTAACAGTATTACTTGTCTGAATGAAGTTGGCAGAATTACAACCCTGAGTCTTGTAAAGAATGGAAATTTGATAGTTACAATACTTTTATTTCAGAATAGTTTGTTGAAGTTGAAATAGAAGAACTCACTGCACTAAACAAAAAACATTAATCTGTTGTTTTGGTTCTAATTCAGGTAGATAATGCTTTTGAGGAGAGTAATTTACAATCACTGTGAATTGTCCATAGGAAGAATGATAAAACCGTTGCTTTCTCAGTTTTTATTCCAGCTAGTGTGATTATTCAGAATTACAT